AGACACCAATTACCAGAGTTGTTTTATCAGTGGATGTTTTGCTAAGCGGGGAAAATCAAGTTGTTTTGACCTACGACTCTTGCAAACTGTCATCCAGCCACCCGGCTGAGATCCTGGCTGCTCGAGAAGCGCTGGGGGGTAGCTAGCTTGGGCTAAGCTACACCGGCTACATGGGCCTAGCTAGCTGGGCTGTTCTCCATGGTGTGGAGCCTTGCCTCCAATGCTGCTAGCATCTGACATTTATTACAAGCACCATTATCACTAAAGGAGGCAGAGGAATATCTGAACATGTGACACTTCAAGCAAGAAAAAGAAGGAGAGGAAGAGGGGGAAAACCATTGCTCTCTTTATGGACAAACTGTGACTAGCACAGAAGTCCAGTAACAAAAGCACTAGCTTAGCTAGCTTCTAAGCTAGCCGGCCTAGAGTAGCAAGTTAAATTTGGTAATTAGCAAGAACGTGTGTAACACAGGTGCATGAGTTGTGCAGGCATATGTCGTGACTCAAACATTAGCTAATGTTCAGATAAACCTAGAAATTAGTGAGCTTAATCCGTGAACAATCTGGTATTAAGTACAACTTGCTGCAGACACAGTAAACAGGAAGTGAATACAATTACCACAGGAACAGGAAACAACAGGAATCCTCACAAACTGCCCAAAACACCCCATTAAATAATTTCATGACACCCACAGTGAGGATCACACTGAACATTGTCAACATCCAGTTTTATTTAACATTAAGTTTTAGAACTTTCCTACTGATACTCCATGAACAGTACAGACTGGACACAGGATGTGGTATTAGTAGGTGTGTTTACATTCAGTTGGCACAAATCAGTGAGATTTACAACACAGCTGTTGAATCACTGCTACACTGTAACAAAAACATACAAACTGGGTCATCTGTAACATGCAAATAGAGCAGCATTAGATGTCAGCAAGTCTATGTGGGATTACCCACACTCATGGCCAAAGGAATTCAGTTTGCTGTTATTTGAACAAATAAAATCACATCTTTTACCAGTTTGTTGCTGTACTGTTTTGAGTATTTAGATTTGCAAAAGTGTTTTCAATTTTCTTTTAAAACAAAAACATTTTTGGCATTTAATGATTGAGATTTTCCAAGCCTGTTACTGGCCCTTCCTATTACACTCCATTTCATCATGTATTTAGCCATCTCCTTTAATCTATAGGTAGAGCAACAGACTCATAACACTGCAATACTATTGACAATCACACATTCCTTAAAGAGCCCATGGCATGCTTTTGTGTTTTCTGACTTATCTACAATGTTACAACGGTGAATGATCAATTGTCAATGTTTTTTGTTTATGTGTTGTCCTGACCTCCTGACTGGTCGAAAAGTGCCCCCCAATCAAGATGTGTTCCCCTGTTCAAAACTCGATTTCATGTAGTGGTTGTGGTTAGGATATTGTTAGGGGAAACACATCTCCATGGGGAAACAGATTCCGACAACACCAACAGCAGGAGTTGTGCGTGTCCATGCACTATCCTCTCATTTTCAGGTGGAAGCTCTCAGGTTTTATCATTCTGAAATAATTAGACTATTTAGAGTTGAGATGGGTACAAAGCTAATCTAGAGGTACCCAAGATTAACATTAAATGGCTGGAAATGAACAAACCATGGGCTCTTTAAATTAGTCCTACACTGGTTGGGTCTGCTAGGGAGCGAAGGATCATGTATCACACCTTATTAAATAATATTCCACATACAAAAACTGGACTGGAAGTAATATATTCAGTCACAGCGGGCAAACAATCCCTAACCTTCAGACCAACCTGGTGCTGTGGGTTTTTTTCCAGGGCGCCCTTATAAAAAGAGGTCTCAGTCTTCAAGGGATTTCCCAGTATTTAAGCAAATGTTTAAAAGAAAAAAAAAATAAGAAAAGAACGTGGGAAAAAAACCCCCCTTCAAACCAGTGAGTAGAAGTTGCTCAGGCCTAGTAAAAATTTGACTATTCCTTGCTATAGGCACTTATGAGTCAGCGACAACCCTTTGCTCAGCTTTCAGTTACTGTCTACCTTCACCCATACAACACTTCTAACTTCAGCTCAGAACATGCAGGTTTCACATTGTCACTGATTTAAACTTAGTTACACATACTTCCCTCCTGCTACCTAAGGCAGTCTCATCCACTATGCAGTCACCTACTGAACAGGGTATCAGTCTCAAAATGTTTTGGTACTGACCAAAACAGCTCTAGCAGCGAGTAACCACAAGCTGACAACAAATGTTAGCTCAGCTGGCTTTACTTATTCTTTGATCAATAGCTTTGAATTTAAGTAATCCTGGCAGTTTTAGACTGTTTAAGTAAGCAAAAGTTCTTGTGCAGCTGCTTGCGTTTAAACAGTATTTAACATTTGAGAACTTTGGCTTCTTTGATAAGTTGTTCTGGTATCTGGTATCACATCAACATTATCTTAAAAAATGCCCTGCACCAGTGCTAAAAGAATGACTTACTTAAAACTTAAATGATTAACAGCCACAAATCTACAAACAGATATCAATTTTGACAGTTGATTTAAAAGGGAAAACAAAATACTTGCTGATTAGAGGTTCACAGTTCACTTTTCAGGGGGGGTGGTGTGCTGTTGAGAAGACTTAAGCAATGTTACTCTATTACTCTAGTAAGTGTTATGGGCATTTGCCGGGGGTGTTTATTCAAAGAATTTTAAGATTAATCGATAACAGTAGTAATCATTTGTGTAGCCCAGTGTTAAAAACACAAAAAAGTGTTTATACTTGATTTTGTTAAAGAAAACAGTTGCTCTCTGCTACTTCTTTATTCAGACACAGTATGTGTTATCAGAGTATAGATACTATTGACACACTTCAGTAACTGCCAGCCTGAATCAATACTGCTGAAACTGTCTCACATACACATGGCAGCTGAGCACACAGTCCCATTTCTGACACTACTCCATGTAACACCGATATGTGAGTTTCATTCGATTACGCACCGAGGTAAAATATAATACTATAAGTTATGAAGTTATGCCTGTAACAGAAAACCTGCTTCTTGCTTTACTAGGTGTGCACATATTTCCAGTCAGGTTAGCTCATTAGCAAATACAGCTCAATTTCTGCACTGCGAGTTCTCTCCAGCCACAGGTTTTTATTTCAGTGACCTGTCAGAATCTGAACTAGTGTCTTGCCAGGCTTTAAACTAAACAAGCACGAATGGTGACAAAGTCATGAAGAGACAGATTCTGTACCTGCCATACCGTCAGCAACTGGAACACAACATCTGTAAACTGCACATGTGACTGTGTGTGTGTCCATTACAACTTGTCAGTATATTGAACTCTAGAGCAATATCATCAAACAAATTAACATAAATATAAAGCAACAACCCCTCATCGAGACGACGACAACAAGAAGATATAGTAAACCTCACAAAGGTACAGTTCATGCACTGGGGTAGAGTACCAGTCAAAGGTCTGATTACACTTTCTCAATCAGTGGTTTTTCTTTGTTTTTATTATTATTTCTACTACAACTGATCTCAAAAGCGCAAAGAGGGCAGGCTATTCCACCAGTTAACTTTTGACAAGGCACACCTGTTACAGTGCATCCAGAAAGTATTCACAGCGCTTAACTTTTCCCACATTTTGTTAGGTTACAGCCTTATTCCAAGATGGATTAAATTCTTTATTGTTCTCAAAATTCTACAAACGATATCCCATAATGACAATGTGAAAAAAGTTTGTTTGAAATCTTTGCAAATTTATTAAAAATAAAAAACAACAAAAATCACATGTACATAAGTATTCACAGCCTTTGCCATGACACTCAAAATTTAGCCCTGGTGCATCCTGTTTCCACTGATCATCCTTGAGATGTTTCTACAACTTGACTGGAGTCCACCTGTGAAAAATTCAGTTGATTGGACATGATTTGGAAAGGCATACACCTGTCTATATAAGGTCCCACAGTTAACAGTGCATGTCTGAGCACAAAACAAGCCATGAAGTCCGAGGAATTGTCTGTAGATCTCCAAGACAGGACTGTATCAAGGCACAGATCTGGAGAAGGGTACAGAAAAAGTTCTGCGGCATTGAAGGTCCCAATGAGCACAGTGGCCTCTATCATCCGTCAATGGAAGACGTTTGGAACCACCAGGACTCTCCCTAGAGTGGGCCGCCAGGCCAAACTGAGCAATCGAGAGAGAAGGGCATTAGTCAGGGAGGAGACCAAGAACCCGATGGTCACTCTGAAAGAGCTCCAATGTTTCTCTGTGGAGAGAGGAGAACCTTCCAGAAGAACAACCATCTCTGCAGCACTCCACCAATCAGGCCTGTATGGTAGAGTGGCCAGATGGAAACCACACCTCAGTCACAGCCACATGGGAGCCCACCTGGAGTTTGCCAAAAGGCACCTGAAGGACTCTCAGACCATGAGAAACAAAACTCTCTGGTCTGATGAAACAAAGACTGAACTCTTTGGCCTGAATGCCAAGCATCATGTCTGGAGGAAACCAGGCACCGCTCACAACCTGGCCAATACCATCCCTACATGAAAACCTGTTCCAGATCACTCTGGACCTCAGACTGGGGCAACGGTTTATCTTTCGACAGGACAATGACCCTAAGCACACAGCCAAGATAACAAAGGAGTGGCTATGGGACAACTCTGTGAATGTCCTTGAGTGGCCCAGCCAGAACCCAGACTTGAACCCAATTGAACATCTCTGGAGAAATCTGAAAGTGGCTGTGCACCGATGCTCCCCATCCAACCTGATGGCGCTTGAGGTACTGCAAAGAAGAATGGGAGAAACGGCCCAAAAATAGGTGTGCCAAGCTTGTAGCACCATACTCAAAAAGAGTTGAGGCTGTAATTGGTGCTAAAGGTGCTTCAACAAAGTATTGAGCAAATACTGTGAATATTTATGTACCTTTTTCACATTGTCATTATGGGATATTGTTTGTAGAATTCTGAGGACAATAATGAATTTAATCCATTTTGGAATAAGGCTGTAACCTAACAAAATGCGGAAAAAGTTAAGCGCTGTGAATACTTTCTAGATCCACTGCAAGGAAAATCCACTTTAGGCGACTACCACCTCATGAAGCTGCCAACAGTGTGCAAAATTGTCATCAAGACAAACGGTGGCTACATGGAATATTTTGTTTTTTTTCCCCTTACTACAGATTGCATACATTACCTCATAATTTTGATGTAGTATTACTCAATTGGTAGTAATAAACAATTCAGAAAAGAGAAACCACTGAAAAAGAAGGTTGGTCCAAAGTTCTGACCGGTGTTCCTACATATATGACTTCACATGTGGAAAATTACCAGTCAAGGTGGTATGACTGCATGTCAATGTGTGAGGTTCAACTGAAACTGTCACTTTCAGATGGTATTCTTGATTAGTACATTTTTTCTGACTAAAATCTGTCTAATCACCTGTACCGATAAATCAAAATAACTCAACTATCACAACTGACAGCAATTTAAAGAATCTATAATATAATTATAGCGAACAAATGAAATACTATGCGCACTGTTTATAAGTTCGATCTGTTGGCACTAGCATCAAATATAGATCATCTGTCTGCTGGCAGAACAGTAGCTTAATTACAAATCATAGTCTGTAAATTCCACCTTCAGGAGCTCCAGTGGACACAAACTGATTTCAGTATATTCAACTCAAACAAAAACTAACAATCCCGTTCCCTGTGTGCTAGGAAAGAGCTCTGCCTTTGTGCTACACCAATATCGCTAACTTCATATAATCTGCAGCAAGCTCACATCCTAACTATTGGTATAATCGATCAAAACAAACTCAGTCACACAACAAAACAAATCTCAAGGGGGCACATTTAACACTTATTAAATCAAAGTCATCTTAAAAGTCAGTAACAAACAAGTGGCAACCTGTATTGCATTTGAAGGTGTCTGTTTAAAGCAGACACACAAGGCAACTGGGAGACCTCAGTGTGTATGACTCTGAACTCTGGTTGACAAATACAGTCAGAGGCCTGGAGCATTAAAATCTACATGTCCACATACACACGCACAAAAAAAAAACAACAAACAAACAAAAAAAAATCACTTAGCATATTGCACTTACATGACAAGGACAAAGTACACAGTACCACCCTACATACCTCATGTCTACATCCATCGTTGCACACTGATAAGGCGAGAGTAGACATTATCACCCACACATTCTGAGCCAGTGTGTGTTTGCTTCTATTTCCACTCTGTCACTTCCCCCTCTTTGTTTGTCCTCAGATGACTCAAGGGGATCTTGTGCCATCCCGTTTCTGCACTGCATTACTATTATCAAGCTATATAACCCATCTGATGCAGCTTCCTCAGAAGAATCTGAGTAAGGTCAAAGGTGGTGAAGCTGATCCCAACTGCAATGGGCCCTTTGACCCAGTTCATACTAAGGCCTTTGTAGAGTCCACGAATGACCCCCTCCTCAGACACAATCTCCTTCATGGTGCCCAGGATGGTGCCATACGTGTGACCAGTGACTCCTGCGGTTTGCATGCGCCGTCGTACCACATCTAGAGGGTAAGACGCTGACTGGCCAATGAGACCTGCACAGGCCCCAAATGCCAGACGTTCATATGAGTAGGGCTGCGGGCGGCCACTGTGCTCTGCAAGGGGAAAGGAAGATGTAAGGCCTAAGTGCCATTCAGTAAACAAGGATTTTGCATGTGCAACATGAACTATTTGTACATGTATGTGAGGAGAAAAAGGGGTAGATACATACATACGCAGATACATACAGGCTTGGTAGAGGCAGTGCATTACCTGCATGTAATTTCTTTAGAGTCTCATAGGTAAAGAAGCTGAGACCAGCATAGGGGACAACACCCAACATTGTGGGAGTAAAACCTCGATACAATGTCTTCAGGCCCTCTTCTCGAGAAATCCGCATAAATACATGCAGAATGTTACTGTACCTAAAACAGAGGAACAAAATAAAGAATATGAAACATTTTTGCAGTTGGATGAGATTGTACTATGACAACAATTTTATAAACATATGCAGTGCAGTGCCATGGTAGCCAATGAGTTCTTCAAATGTATTTTATCCTAAGACTGAAACTTGTAGCGACATATTTATACCAAAACAGCCCCTCGGGCTGACTGACTGAATTGCTGTGTAATGCACCCTAATGTTTACTGATGACTGTGGTTTGCAGTTTGGTGGCCTTACATTTCCTTTGGCGTTACAGCCATCCTAGCTCGCACCATATCCAGAGGATAGGTCATCATGGATGCCGTAATACCAGCCATAGACCCGGCCAGTAACCTCGGTATTGGAGGCAGAACTCTGGACCACAGAGGAAAACAAATGTACATCACCCTCTAAAGTTTTTCAGTATTTCAGGAGGAGACATGAAGAAAAGCTGAAGAATCAACATTAAAGTTCATAAATGAACCATTAAAACCTGGGTAGCAAGTCTGTCAGTATAAACAGTGACTTACGTCCCCTGAAAGCCATAGTAACCTCCCAGCAGCCTCTTGTACTGCTCATGTGCACAGAACTGGATGGCAGCGTAGGGGATGACACGCACCATGGTGGCCGAGTTCCCTCTCCACAGACTGAAGAAGCCATCCTTCAGGTAGGTGCGGTAGATCAACCTGTAGGCCTCCTGCAACGCAGCATGCACTCATGCTCAAACTCACTCTGACACTGGTGATAATCTATTTTGTTTAGACTTTTGTCTTCAAATTTGTTCCTCAATGTCACACTGGAACCTAAGATCTTAATAAATATGAGTTGCATGAATCTTAAGTAGAGACATGCCAACTGCAATCTTCTTGGCCGATTCCTATTTTGTTTTTAAGAACCGTGATTGACAGCATACACAGACATTTTTGCAACTACTCTTTAATGAAAATTTAAATTATAATAAAATAAAACATAGCTATTGAATAATTTTACATTTTCACTCTCTCGCTAATTTTTACAAACCTCCAACTAATAATTAAGTCCTTTATTTGTACTTCTCCAATTATACATGGGTTCAATCAGTACAGTAGGCTAAGAGAAATAGAAGAATGTCTGTTACATCAGTCTTACTGTACATACAGTTCTTTTTAAAGTGTGTGTAGTATTTAGCTGTTGTTTTACCATGAGCTGGATACACTGTACATATACACCTATTTCATGAGTAGCCAGTAATTCCCTCATTGTGTACTATGTGAGGTGAACCTGTGTCTGTTATAGACACAAGTGTGAGCCTTGTGCAAGGTGCATGCAAGATGCTACATGCTGCACATGTTAAGCTTTCAGTCTGTGCCACTGTGGGCGTGATGTGAAGCATTGTGTGTATAAACTTGACTGGTACAGGATCTGATATCTCAGACTGATTGGCCAGTCGCCGGTCATGGCAGCTCAAGCTAAAAATGATTCTTTTCCGATCTCCAGTCAATTGATCAGGGCGTCCTTAATCTCAAGTATATACAAGTTTTTGTTTTTTTAATCAGTTACATAAACCATAAACAGCCACATTTATATGAAAGATGCCAGGTTGAAAATAAACCAGAATTGCTCTTTAAGTCAGACCTACCTTTGCAGAGAATCTCGCTGACGACACTGGAAAACAAAGCATATGTACAATATAAATGACGTGTGTAACATTCTAGTCATTTCAGTAAAACCAAGAGCACATTTTCTTATATTCACATTATGCTACAAACAGTAGCAATGTAGTTAAACTACAACATAAAGTCTAGATATAATTCAGTGTCATTCATGTGGGTCATTTGTAATCTAAAAACTGTTTCCACTTTTAGAGCATTCCACTTGCCTTGGAAGATTATTTTTGTTCTGTCCAGTGGGGCAACAGCTGTCTTGGCCACAGCTCCTGCTACAGCCCCTGAGAAAAGCGAGTTGAGAACAGACCGAGTGCGCTTCAGACCCTGCACAGAGACGGAGGACATTTAGTGTCACCGATAACTAGCAGACTGATTCCTGTAAAAACTGCATTCTTATAGGAACAAAGCTGTGTTGAGATGCTCTTGATCTTTAAACTGGAATTACATAAGGATAATAGATGCCACCAGAATAAACAGTTCAAAAATCCTCACAACAACCAGGAGCACATTTCCTTCAATGAGCTTCAAACAAACTGAATCAGGTCAGTTCATCTCTTTCACATTCAACACAGAAATGGTTTTAACTGTGTGAGGGAATTATCTTCAAGTAAAGACAGTGAGCAAATAAAACAGACAGTGAAATAGCATTAATGTGCAACGACAACACTCCACTGAAGATAATCAGTCTGACATGTTTATTTTATATAATAATCTATCACTACAAAAGGACAACTGTGGTAAAACATAGAACAGCAATGAAATCCATATTAAACTAAACTTGAATTGTGATCTTTAGTGATTTTTGACAGTCAGGTCATTATTAAAACACAGATCTCTGTGGGACATTCTTGTGTTGACAACTCTTAGGAAGGAAGGTTTATGTCTCTAAAATGTCACCTCATAGCTCACTTCTGATTGGCTGCAGGAAGCCAGTGGCTGCACTTCTCCCTGCGTAAGTGATGCCCGTTGTTCCTGGACTCCACTCCCCATCCCCGAGGACTACACACGACTGTCACTGAGCACGCTCATGAATTCGATCACCAGGCGAACATCAACACCAAGCGCTGAGAGGGAGAGGTCAAATGGAGAAACAGGGATCAGTTTTATGGTCAAGTTTTTGCCTGATTATAAAACAAATGACAAGATATTGAGGTGGATAGGCTTCTTGTTACTCTCAGAGAGCTACAACAGGATCACGTGACAAGAAGGACTCAGGTTATGAGGAAGTGAAAGCATTTTCTCCAAATTAAGATGAGCTCATTTAGCTTTCAGGTGCACAGGTTCATCTTGTGAGTACCCAAGTATTCAGATGTAGCTCCATTTAAACTTGCTAGCAGAGAAACCTGTTCTGGTTTAGTATTCATTGTACACTTTTCTGTTTACTTAAGTAATGTTATGCCAGCAATGTTATGTTGCTGTCTTTAGGTCAAAGGTCAAAGTGTTTATTTGTCATATGCAGTTAGGAGATGTGTTTCCCTGTACAATGAAATTCTCACTTTGCCGTCCACATGAATGCCACACAATACAAGTGAAATATAAAGCAGATCAACAATAACACAAATCTAAATAGGCAGTAACACAAATCTAAGGCACTTTAAAGCAGCAAGTGAAAAAGTGTCCTTAAACAAGAACTTGTAAACACAGTAGGTACCTCTACTCCATAAATTACCTAAATAATACTCCAGTTAACTCCCACACCAACAGTATGAAGGCTGTATGAAAACACTGAGTAAAGTAGAGCCACGGTGAGTTAAAGCCAAAAATATCTCTTGAAGGACAGAGGTGAGGATTTGTAGATGAAAGGTGTCTGTCTATCACATCCTTATGCAATCAGGACGTTCTGGTCTCACTGATGTCATGAGATGACTGAGATGGGCTTCAGAGGAAGAACATTAAAGAGCCCATGTCATGCTTTTCCTTGTTTTCTGACTTATTTACAATGTTACAATGGTGAATTATCATCTTATATGTGACCTAAAGCTAAACAAAATCAGGTGTACGTATGTTGTAGCACTTCTATGCAGAAGCAACTCTGTTTATACAAGTCTCACAAACTCTCACTCGTGAAACTTTGTTTTTAACTAAAATAAGTATTACATGATAGTTCAAGGATCTCCTCAAATGGTCATAACCTCCAGGCAGTTGCGCGTCCATGTGAGCTTGCCTGACATCCACCAGTGCCATTTTAAAAGCGGAATTTTTTTGACTGCACCCAGTTTTGTGGATATGTTTTACCTCCTGTTGCTGCACTGTGACCAGAGGATGTGGAGAAAAATCCAGGGCCTGAGGTTGCTGTATGTCCAGGAATGTTCCTGTACAGGGACTCACTGTTTTACCTGAACGGGTCTAACCTACAAGCAGCCGGCCAATGAAGCACCCTGGGGCAGTGAACGATCAGCTGCTCAACACTAGATTCCCCTGGAACACAGCACCTGTTTGGTTTGACTGTTTGAGGCCAGTGTGTCTGCTGCATGTGATGTGTTGCTGGTTAATGAGCAGATTAACAATCCATGACGTTATTGTCAGCGCTACGCTACCTGAATAAATTTCACTACTTTGGGAATGTACTGTATGTGGTCGTGTTGGGGAAGACACAGAGATCATCAGTTGTATTTACTGACCTTGGAGCTACTTGAAAGGGAGTGATGTTTCCACTACTCGGTGGGACTTAATGGTAAGTAAAAAAAAAAAAACACATTGCATGTCTGTTAATGCCTTGCTTCTGTAACATTAGAGAAAAGGCTGGAGATGTTACTATGTCTGCATTATGCCAGTTAAAATATGGGGTTTCTCAATTACCCGCTTTGTTTAGAGTGTTACACATTGGTATATATACTGTTGTTTATCTATCTGTGGAGAAGAAATTCAAATTAATTCATGCCATCCCGGTTCGTTGTGCTGTCCATTGTCAACACAATGCCGCCATCCCGGTTCGTTGTGCTGTCCATTTTCAACACAATGCCAGCAGCAGGAGTTATGCGCATTCACAAACTATCCTCTCGTTTTTAGGAAGATGCTCTCTCGTTTTATCATTCTGAAATAATTACAGACTATTGGAGTTATGAGGGGTGCAAAGCTAATCTAGAGGTACCAAGGACTAATCATGAAATGGCGAGAAATGAACATGCTATGGACTCTTCAACAAAGATGTTTTTCAATGAGCTAATCATTTTACTAGACAAGTCATCTATTCATGAAACCTCTGGTCCATGGTTCAATACTGTACATGTTCCACAGTCAAACCAACTGCCCAAACCAACAAAGCTGTCAAATAACCAAACATGAGCTGCAACAAAATGTGTATTAAGCTGACCTGCGTATTTCTGTGGGTCTAAAATGGCAATTTACAGCAGCAAAAAAACCAGAGTGATTTCTACATTTTTCTATGTTCTGTAGTAATTTATGTTGTTTAGGGTTTAAATTTGTTTGGAAGATATCAAGTTTATATAGTAACTTTGCTGTTACTGTGCTAGAAACAATATTTAGTCATATTTAATATATAAATTATAATCCTATATGTAATATCATTTTTTACAAAAACACATTACACATACTTAGATGCGGTTTAAGGTATTTTTCACAAAATTGTGACAGAGCTATACTGTGAAAACTAAACTTGCCATGTCACTCAACTGGACAAACTCTCCGCCATTTCTGCCACTGCAAAATGCTAACAACAGTCACCAGTGTATGTTACAGTATAGCCATGAAAAGACAGCACCTGCACTTACAGTACAATACTTCACAAAATACAGGTTCAATGCAGCTTCAAAACAAGTAGGTAATGAATATTTTAAATAATTATTTTAAATACATTACTGGTAAAGATTCAGAGTTCAAGGAGTTTAGCAACACTGAGGAAAAATATAATAAAAAAAACTTCAGACAAGAGAGAAAACAGAGTCACTGCAATGTTGGGTGGTTAACTAACAATCCACAAAGGAGCACTTAGACCTCTATGGCATCCTTTCACCTCACCCACTGCCCTTATTCACAGGCTCCCTTGCCCCTCCCTACACCCTCTGTCCTCGTACTATCGTTCTACACTTGTTGCCAGATATGCCTATCAGGTTGCCACTGCAAGATTTCCCCTACTAGTCATCTACTATATAACCCAATTCCCCATCCCCTTGCTATACACAAAACAGGAGAGGTACAGCTGTCCCTGCGGATTAATTGTATCAAATACACAACAGCCTTCTTGTGTGCTGACTGTTTTTTTGTGTGAAACCTCTGTGACCAACATGGACTTTCACTTGGATTACATAATAGTCATTAGTAAAATAATAGTGTTTCTGTTTACGTTAGTGTTTCTGAAAATGTCAGGATATCAACAATAACGGCCTGAAAATGAAAATACTGTGTGGACAACATAACACTTTCAGTAATATGACTGGACAATAACCCTCAGTGCAACACCTGTAAATATACCCTGTACAGATTATACAGATTCATACAGGCCTCTAGTTTTAAGTACTCTGTTTTTATTCCTATTTATCTCATATCAATGAGCATTCCTTTGTTTGTCTGCATTGTTTACTGCCTGTCAATACTGCTTATTTTGCATTGTATGCACTGTTTGTTGCTTGTTAATACTGCTTATTTTGTTATATTACACAGCCTTATGCTGGTTTACTGTTTACTTGCCCAGGTCTCTATTTTTAAGTACTCTATTTTTATTCCTTTATTCCTATTATCTCATCTCAATGAGCATTCCTGTCTGTCTGCACTGTTTACTGCCTGTTTATACCGCTTATTTTGCATCGTTTGCAGTGGTTGTGGCTTGTTAATACTGCTTCTTATTTTTGTTATCTTACACAGCCTTATGCTGGTTTACTGTTTACTTTCCCCTTGCATGGTGATACGTACATACACATTGAGAGCCCATGTACCACAGTCAAATTCCTCGTGTGTCCGACAGACCTTTGCCAATAAAGCAGACTCCGGAATAGACCAGCCATACACAAACATGCTACATTAGTAAGCTTATAATGCCATTGTTTTAGGGCTGTGAGTAGCAATTGTTTTACTGATTAATCCCCCAAATCCAAAAACGCAACCATAAATACCAAAACCTTACATTCGGTTTCAATGCTTGATAAATTACTCATATGGTTAATGACTTACCATAGTAGCAGACAGTTATTTTTCCTGCTTACTAACCATTTGCTTGTTTGACTGTTTCAGGCATGTGGTGTTGCTGTAGTGCACCACAGGGGTGCGTGTTATTTGGCAATAATTAACAGCATTGTGTCTCATATGCCTCTACTTTCCTTGGCATGTAACATAACCTAACAGTGACACTGTGGTTACATACTAAAGTAATTGGCCTACTTTGGCCTACAATTAAACATCAAGTGACAAAATAATCGCCATGCTTATCACTGTCCTACTGGCTAGTGCACCCCCCGAGTCCGGTGAAACGTGTGCACTACAAAACACAGCCACCCTTTGCACCAGCTGCCTGTCACTGATTACACACATCACAACTCTTACCTTGTAGATTGTACACCAGCAGGAAGATGTTTCGGCAGCCCTCACTTGATGTGCTTTCTCGAGTGGTTGGCAGGATCTTCGAGGGCTGTTTCTAAGTCAAGTTAGCTAAAATAAGAGGGTAAATAACGTCAGTTAGCTATTAGCTTGCTGCTACACTAGTGTTATTCTTGTCAACAAATTTGTTGATGCTAACAGTAAACTCGATTCTTTGTAAATAGGTCTCTTGGTATTGAGGATACTGTGTTCCTTGAACTCAAATTCAGCTTAACACTGACTTGACCATGCTGTTATGTTTTCGCCCTATAAGCAACTCGTACTCAACGTTAGGTTACCCATTGAGATTCGACAAGGGCGAGCGCAGGGGCATTATGGGAAACGAAGTCTAAAAGCTGTAGGGACTGTCTAAATAGGTCGGTTAGAGGGGCGTGAGCAGAAAAACACCGTTGGCTTATCACAGTTCCTCCCGATTTTTTCATGATTATCTACACTCAGTTCAACAGTTATGTTAGAGTTACATAATCAACTTTACAGTTTTGTCTGACTGCATTTATTTGACAGGTGTAGGTACTACTTATTTTCATATCAAAAATGATGAGTTATCTAAAATATTTCAGAATATCAGAGCCATGTTCAGAAAAAACAAATGCAAACCCAATGTACCTTTTAAACACTTATCTTGAAGATATCAACAAATTTTCCCTTAAAAAGATCTGGCATACTACAGCAACAGTTTAATCTCACATACACACACACTGAACGCAACTTTTTGGAATCATGCATCTCTTCACAAAGGAACAAATCAGAAACTGGTGAGATCTAAAAAGCGTAATAGTATCTGAGGTGGCCTTTTTTCTTTAATTCTGTGGAATTTCTCCTTCTGTCCTGTGATATGGTTAGCTGGCGCCAGCGTTTCTGCCTTTACCCCAGTGATGCAAGCCTCTGGCACATACACACACACACACATACATACAACCACACAGCAAGAGAAAGGTGAAGCATTAAAAGTGACTTTTGTCATAGTCATGCAGAATGTGTTGCCAGTGGTTGGTGTAAACATCGGAGATTTAGGTTTCACCTTGTAATCATGTCTATACTGTACAAACTAAAAAAACAAAAATGGTAATGTTTCGCTCTCATAAAACATATAAGGCATTATACAATTTAAAATCTGGCTCTGCTAAAATGGGGGAGGAAATCCTCACAAAACAGTGCAGTTAAATAATTTGCATAGCAGCCAAAACATTTACCCATGGCACAAAACACACAAATTTACATGTAATATCTATGATCATAAATGTGTATTAACAGCAAATAAAATAGAACAGTTCAACTGGACAATGACTTTTTGTTACAATAACAGAAGTAACTGGAAAATAAATTTAACCTTTAAAGGCCATTGTGTTGATCTTTTGCACTGTTCACAAGCCTTTTCTACAACTACTCAGTAGAAATGTGCGTAGCTAGATTGGCCCATTTGCTTCAAATCTTGGCTATGTATACCAACATCATAGAACATTTCAATGCATTTCAGGCAAACTCATGATAATAGTGTACTGTCTCTAGTGATGTACTTTTCTACTTTCAGTTGCTGATGCTGCCATGTTTCCCAGTCCACAGCTCTCGAAGCTCCACCTGGCATCCCAGATCCCTGAGGGCTGCTTTACAAATGTCACTACAGTCTTGATGGAGTTTTAGTGCCTGGGCTATCAGGGCCTCTGCTCCCATCTCTAGGATTGGTTGACTGTAATTTTGCATATGTGCAACCAGGTTTCTCAGCAGCATACATGCCTGTTTCTGTTGATGAAGGAAAAAAAAGACAGTGGCATAAAGACATGGCAGTCTGCTACAAGGCCCACTTATTTTTTATTAATAACCTCATATTACCTGCACATTGACCACATCAGCATGTGTCTTCATAGCCTGCACAGCAGCCAATGCACCTTCATTCTCCATGATGACTTTGCAGTTGTTGGGTTTACGTAAAGCAAGCACAGAGAGGCATGCACAGCCCTGTTCACACACCTACATCAGAATGTAAACAATCTTAAGGCATTTGCAGAATTTATTTACAACTTACATTTAGTTTTACATAAAAAAAACCTACTCTATAACAAAACAGCTTCATTAAATCTGTGGTAAATGCTAGATCAGTGGATCAAAACCTCTTCACATTTATCATATACAATAGGTATGACACTGAACTCACAGCAGAGTTGCTCATGTGTCTGTTCATGGCAATGACAATGAGCTGGACTCCACCAGCACTAACAACAGCATCTTTCACGTCGTCATTTCCTGCTACAGCCCGTATTGCAGCAAGGACCTGACGAACCAGCTCCTGCAAGGGGAAGACCCATTCAGAACAAACATAGATGCTGAACGACAAATTAGTTTGCATCACAATCCTCTGTTTTTTGTACTATACCGCTGACTCGTAGCTGTCTGCAAGCAAAGTCACCATGAGTTTTAATCCTCCCAGATCACAGATGTCTTGGCAGAACTCATTCCTTACAGCCAAACGGGACAAAGTTGCACAAACCTCACTCACAACAGAAGTCTTATCAAGATGAGCTGTGAGAGAGGAAGACAGGAATACACAAATTACATGTATGGAATCAGAATCTGGTGTAGACAAAACACAGTAGCTGAAGCTATTGTGCTACACACCCATGTAAACTAATGATTAACTGGACGTACCTTTTGCAGCCTCAATTAAAATCTTTAGTCCATTGTGCTCAAGAACAATCATCTTGGCATGGTCATGAGCATGTCCAAAGGTAGCTCGGACATCATCATCAAATGTCATGACCCGGAGAGCTGCAGAGGCCCCCTTCACCAGATTCGCACTTGCAATGTGTTGTGTAATGGCAGTGGTCAGCAGCGGCAGGACTCCACCTTTTACCAAATCTTGCCTGTTTTGTTCATGTTTCAAACAGCAGTGGCGTACAACACAGATGGCTGCACACATCACAGAGGAATCTGACTGGTACTTCTTAAGGACATCCAAAAGGATCTGCTGGCCCTCTGCATCCAACAAGTCTGGTTGTCCATCTGTCAGTGCACCCAGTGCAGCCAGGGTGGCCAGCACAGCTTCCTGCTCCTCCAAACTCTTTTTGACATAGGAGAGGATGATGGGGTAGGCATCCTTTTGGGCAGCCAAGTACCTCTGGGCAAATCCAAATGAGCATTGCTCAGTGAAGTGTTTTAACTCTGTCATCACTTCTGTAATATCTTTTCCAGTTTGTAGGGAATCCAGTGCCTGCAAGTGAAAAAAGGTGAACATATAGTGAGGTTTTGACCAACAGATATGTGCAGCAGTCTTTTCACAACACAGGTCAGGGCTTACCTGTAAGACCTCATGTGTTTGCTCTTCTGGTTTCTCATCAGATGATACAGCTGGTACAGCTTTTACTATACAACTGAGGTCTACACCTGTATCCACACACAAGAATAAATTTAATGTACTGGCACACAACAAAATATCATGAAGAAAAGGTAAAAAAAAACAACCAAAATTTGCATAAATGAAGCAACTAACACCAAGATTATTTTCACTTTTAGAACAGGTCCTGTCATGCTGCAGTCAAACTTTGTGTGTCGATTACTAGAACACTGTGAAGACAGAAGCCTCCGGGCTATGAGGGGATGAAGGACATGGCAAATTGCTAATTAATGCTGTAACCTCCTAAAGTTTCATAAAGGTACAGAGATGCCTATTAAGCCATTGATATCATTTGATGGATCCATATGTTCATAAGACAGCTATTTTAGAAAATGAAAACTTTTTCAGATTTTCTGAAATGGTCACATACAATATTTCCTGAGCATTAATCACCAGACTCCATGGCTCCAGTGAGATGTGTCACTAGAGACCATTCCCCTGCCATGATAAATAATTTAGTAGGTTTTAATGGCCAAAGCATCTACATTTTAGGAATCAATAATTCCACCTGCAAAGCATGGATAGACCAACTGATAATTTGCACGTGATGTGTTCCCTGTTTTATTCTGATCTCCCTTTAAGCTTCTATAGATCATAACCGGCTTGGCCTCATCCCCATAAAGCAAATACCCACTCACAGTCTACAGTCAACAACAATACTGTGCATTAATCAACAACCAGACATTGTTCTATCTTGGACATTCACCTTGAGACTCAAACTGCTCCACAGCGTCCCTCAGAGCCTCATTAGGATCCATCTCAAACTCTTCCAAGTTTTCTCTGACAGCAGCATCAAAGGTTTCCTGTGTGATCCTCCGTTTCGCCATTTTGCCACGTTATGCTTCACTCTGAAATGAAATGTGATAATAGCGCTGTCAAAGTATGAGAAACATCACCTGCGTGTAGTCATAGCTTTTGTCAGCTAATAGATGTGTTTGTTCTCCTGTTGCCATGGCTGTACAAAGCTAGCTACCGTTAAACAAATGTGTTATAGGCCAAACTTTTCCCATTTAAGAAAGATATCATAATAAAATACCTAGGACTAACCACTTAACTGTTACCACCGCCCAGTGATAGATCTCCTCCTGCTCAACTGCTCCGAATGAACCGACCACCACTCTCGATTTACGCACTTTTCGTAAACCTCACTAGCTACAGCTCTCAAGGACGAGCGCGAGGCGTGTTTCACGCGGAATCATTTATGTGAATACCAAAGCCAACAAAAGGTCCCATACATACATGTGTTCGGTTGGAACATTTCAAAAGGCTAGTTCCACAAATAAACTGTTTCGTGAAATAGCAACGTTTTAAATCACTAGAGTCATAAGTCATGACTAGTGAAAAAAATTAAAAGCTGTGCGGAGTAACTGATATGTCTATTATCAAAACGAGAGGAACGCTGCTTTAATATCTGTTATATGATGGCACGTTTAAATTTAAGTTTTAAATACACCACATTCCCTTCAAAATAAAAGCGGTATTCTGGGAATTGATAATATTCCCGTGGTAAACTCTCAAGTCTGATAAAATATGAACTACAGAATGCCTTTTTGAGGTGGTGGGTTATTGGTACTGTGACTACGAAAACCCGAATGACATAAACCCCGTGTTAACTTTGTCTTACGGATACTATATGGTCTTACTGTGAAACAACGATCGGAATTCCTTTTTCTGATGGCTAGCTTGGCGCTAGTACCCAGATTCATGCGAACGATTGAGGTGGAAAATATGAGAAACCTGCTTTAGCTGAGTGCACGTCGATCCAGCGTTAAACTGGTATCTTTTGTGTTCGGACAACTCAAGATGGCAGCGACCACTGAGGCCCCAGAGCCCTGGTACCTGGCCTTGTTGGGCTTTGCAGAACATTTCCGCACGTCGAGTCCGCCGAAGATCCGGCTGTGCGTCCACTGTCTACAGGCGGTGTTTCAGTTCAAGCCACCTCCGAGAGTCGAGGCCCGGACTCACCTGCAGCTGGGCTCGGTGTTGTACCGCCACACAAAGAACAGCGAGCTGGCCCAGACCCACCTGGAGAAAGCGGTGAGTAGCAGCCACAGTGTCATATACCAGGCTAAATGAAAAGGATTGGTGTTTGAATCATATCCAGTCTGTGATGCTTTTTCATTAATTGCAAAATCCATGCGCATTGTGTTGCTTACTCACTTCTGACATTTTTGCTTTATTTTCTCCGCAGTGGTTCATATCTCAGCAGGTATCCTTTTTCTGCATGACACGAGATTATATGCAAATCAATACAAGGTGTGTGTATGAGCACACCTTGACAGCATCTTGTCCTGTACATGACTAGCTCTGTTGGTAATGGGGCAATAAAATCCTTAATGGTTTATATCAGATCTCTCAATTTGAAGATGTCAAGTTTGAAGCAGCAAGTATTCTATCAGAGTTCTACTGCCAGCAGGTAGGTGCACCCGTCTCATGTATCCGATTTTAAATAACCAACTGAAAACAAATGCAACACAGAAATAAAATGAAATCCAAATCATGTTATTTGCATTTGTTTTTTTATGTATCATGGTTTGTCTTTTAAATTAGAAGCATTTTAAATGACAATTATTTAGCCTTTTGACTTTAATAAAGATACACTGAATAGTAGTAATGATAGTGTTTTAAAAATGAAACACTTAATACAGAGATTTTCATTGTGACACAAATGTTCCGTGTCACATTAAAATCAAATTACATGCCAGAACACAAAGTGAAGAGGTGTATTACATTTCAGTGTTGTCCAGCAGAGCCCTGCTAAAACTGCATAATGTCATTAGTTTTCATGGAGGAGGAGGAGGTGGTGACAGAATGTTTTTAAGAGGAAGATGCATCACCGATGCCACAATGAAAAATAATAAACTGTCAACAGTATTTGGGGTAGGAGTCAGAGTCTTAGTCTCTTAACTGGGGGTAACTAGTTAGGGTAAAGATGGGATCAGGCTAAGACATGACCAATTGGACTAGACTGCCAAAAAGTAGGTGACCACTGTTTTCGCCTGCCTTCGTCCAACCCCTTGTGTGTCATAGCAGTCTTGAGTTGCTGGCAGCCATGACAGTCAGCCTTTGCGTTATTTGGAAATGTATCCCACAGCACCAGTTTATGCCGTGGATAGGATTCAGGGATGCTACGTGTTAAGGGTAGGGTAGGTCTGGAAAATGGTGGTGTTCTGAAGATTTATGATGGTATGGCCTGACATCATTTAACCCATATACTGAGCTTCCATATGAATGGTCTCCCATTCTTTGGCACATTTAATTGTGACCAGGGCACTGTGTGGTTTGGGGGATATTCCTATAATTTTTCCATTAATTTTATGTTTTAAAAATATTTCAATGTATTATTAATAAACATTTATGTAATAATAATCAATAACCCTTAATCCGTGCAGGAACTTAGTTTAATGTTGTCACAGAAGGCAGCTTACATTACACCAAACCATTTCAGATTTAAATGATCTTTTCTTTTTTGCAAGTGGGTAGCAGAAGACAAGAATCGGAGAAAGGTCCTTGTCTGAAAACCAGCTGTAGAGGTAGCAAGTACTAAAAACTAAGGAGTGGCAGAGGAGGCAGGAAAATAAAGAGTGAACAAACAAACCTGTTGATCATTTTTCTGCTAATGTTCAGACTTCTGCCCATCTCTGTAATGAGTATGTACTGTAGAGAGCCCACTGTCAAAGCTCGAGGAGTCCTGCTCATCCTCTGCTGTGCCTGGCACTGGGACAGGCTTGGTTCTGAGGCTGCAGCTTTAATCATATTAATACAAACATCAGTACAAGAGATGATATAGGATACAGATGGATGATAAATTAAAGGAAAATCCTGAACAAATGAGTGGTCTCCTCCAGGATGACAATACAATTTGATGAGCATGAAAATGATGTAAATCACATGCTGTGGCCTTTACAGTCACCAGATCTCAACCCAGCTGAACACCTATGGGCGATTCTGGGAGCGATGTGCTAGCGTCTCCACCAGCATCATCAAAACATCAAATGAGGGAATTTGTTTTTGGAAAAATGGTGTTCATCCCTCCAGTAGAGTTCAGAGACTTGGTGAATCAATGCCAAGGTGCACTGAGGCTGCTCTGGTGGCCCAGCACCTACTGAGACACTTTACATTGTTTTTTTTCCTTTCATTTGTCACCAGTCTGTAGTTACATATAAGGTGTGGCTGACAGTATAAACCAACTCATTTGTACTGTAGGATTAGTATCCTTCTATACCTTGATGTACAGTATCACAAGGCAAAACACTGAAGGTCTTTGTTTGATCAGAGGTTCACCTGTAATAAGGAACTGCTCATTTAAGGCATGTATAGGAAACAAAATGAGAATACACTCCTAGGAGTAACTAATTTGTCTGCTATATAATGTACATGTACCTGGGAATAATAATGGAAATTCAGCTGCTGACATTGTGAAGTATTATGTTTAATTTTTTATGGTTTGGATTCTGACTTATGTGAATATCCATGTTGAAGACATTGCTGCATGTTTGTTAGAGTGATGCATGCTCTCTAATAATGCATGACCACTTCATGAGGAGGCAAACCACAAACTTTTCACAGCCTGCTTCAACGTTGCAAGTGCCCCTTTTGGTCTGACAGCACAACAAATTGCAAGATTTCAGAGGAAAATACTGTTAATAATAGACCTGCTATGAGCATCTTTTTGTTTTCATCAGTTACTTTTTTAACTTGATAAACAGTGGCTTTCATGTGTAGTAATTTTATGCATGTGACTTTCATGCATCCTGTACAGATAACAATGTATATTGTATTCCACTTTATTTGTGTTTGATTTGTTTAAATTTAGGTATTAAAATACTCCATAGACTCCAGTTATCCTGTAATAATACTGTAATGTGAAAAGTGGTGGTTGCTATTATGCTTCATCATGTTAAAGTAAAAGGCTATAACATAAAGGCAAGAGCAAAATAATGTGCAGGTACTGCTTGGTTGTGTTGCTTTGTCTTAGTCATTCACCTGCTGGTTTCTATTTTCCAGAACTTGGTGGACTCAGCCAAACCAGTTTTGCGCAAGGCCATTCAGATCTCTCAGCAAACCCCCTACTGGCACTGCAGACTGCTTTTTCAGCTGGCAGTAAGTAAACAACATGCCTTACAGACTTAGTTATTTTTAGTAAATTGATCTGAGGTGGTTATGTGCAGGATCTTTTTCTTTCTTTCTCAGCAATTGCATGCACTAGAGAGGGACTTGGTGTCTGCCTGTGACCTCCTAGGAGTTGGAGCAGAGTACGCAAGAGTCATGGGCTCAGAGTACACAAGGTAAACAGATCAGAAATTGCACATTGACCTGTGGTTTAATGCTCATTATCTTACATTAAGTTTGCTGTTCTTTCCTTTTCCTGCAGAGCTCTGTTCTTATTAAGTAAAGGAATGGTAAGCTTAAATAATTATCACGTAATTTACATAGTATTTATGATGTTTTCTCACCATGCATTTGTGGCCCTGCAGCTGCTGCTGATGGAGAGGAAGCTGAGCGAGGTGCACCCTCTGCTGACGCTGTGCGGGACCATTGTGGAGAATTGGCAGGGAAACCCCATTCAGAAGGAGTCCCTCAGAGTTTTCTTCCTGGTGCTGCAGGTTACACACTATCTGGATGCTGGACAGGTACAAATGTATCCATATGGCTCATTATTGGCAACTACTGTCATGCCAGTTCCAGGCACAGATAGACCAGTAAAAATGGGAAAAATTCGGTCCTGACTTTTAAAATCCAGTGTCTAAATCTGCAGGTAAAACAAGATTCTTTACATTTTTACACAAGCATTTGAAATTTTAAAAATAATGAAAGCCTGTTTGGTGAATGATTTTTTTGCCCCATAACCTTAACCCATGTTTATTGTATGATGTATTTTAGATAAGACATGATGCTCAAAGCAACAAAGTCAGTCTTTATCTATATATTGGATTTAGGTAAAGAGTGTGAAGCCGTGTCTGAAGCAGCTCCAGCAGTGTATCCAGACCATCTCCACTCTCCATGATGATGAGATCCTTCCCACGAATCCAGCTGCCCTCTTCCACTGGCTGCCCAAAGAGCACATGTGTGTGCTTGTGTATCTGGTGAGATTTTGTCAAGCATACACAAATTCTGAAAAGAGCCTAATTTCTGGTGTTTGGCAGCAGGATATGCCTTGTTTTCAGTTGTTTGTTTTTTTTATCCAAAAGGTTACAGTGATGCACTCCATGCAGGCGGGCTACCTGGAGAAGGCACAGAAGTACACAGACAAAGCTCTCATGCAACTGGAGAAGCTGAAGAGTAAGTGTGTTGAAACACACTCACTGCGTATTTCCCTCAGGGTCAGTGATGATGAATCAGCTCTGGTGCATCTGTATTGTGTTCAAAGTGCTGGACAGCAGTCCCATCCTGTCCACATTCCAAGTCATCCTGCTGGAACATATCATCATGTGCCGGCTCGTCACCGGACACAAGGCCACAGCTTTACAAGAGGTGAGTCATCAGCTGTAAAGGCAAAGCTGTTGTTCTTGTTGCCAGACAGTTGCTGATTATGGACAGAAGCATATATTTTATAGTACCATTTTTGAATGTGTTGATCTTTGTTTAGATTTCTCAGGTTTGTCAGCTTTGCCAGCAGTCTCCCAGGTTGTTTACCAATCACGCTGCCCAGCTTCATACACTTCTGGTAAGTCTGCTAGCAAAGAGACACTCGCACTCTTTTACAGATTTGGAAACGGGGTAAGCTATATTAATGAATATAACAGCATCAATATTGGCTAGAGAGAAATATGTAGCTAAAATGTGTGTGCAGAGATTCTTTCATCCAGATCATAGTACTGAATATCTAAAGTGCTAAAGGTGGCAACTGGACTCGCTTGAGGTTCTTGAAGGTGTTTCACCTCTCACCTGAGAAGCTTCTTCAGTTCTGACTGACTCACTGCTGGGGAGTCCCAGTGATATAACCTCTGTGGAGTTGTAATCACCTTGAGGGCAAGAAGCCATCTTATCACTAAACAGAGGAGGTGGTCTACAACACCACTTACCAGCCACTTACAATGCAGTCCCCAAGTCCCTCCCAAGGCTATTTAACACCCGTTCCCATGTTGACTTGTGGAGGGGTTGTTGATTTCATTGCGCCTCAAGGTGTTAATGACTCCATGTAGGTTAAGTGCCTGGGACTCCCCACCAGTCAGTCAGAACTGAAGAAGCTTCTCAGATGAGAGGTGAAACGTCTTCAGGAATCTCGAGCATTGTCCAGTTGCCACCTTTAGTGCTTCAGCTAAAATGTGTTTGTTGTACTACCGGACTCTGTATTCTGCTAACATGTGTTGTTGGGCATTTTCTCTCATTTATGGTTTTGTTTAAGTCCCTTAATTGCAGAATAAAGCAGAACTGTTCTAGATAACACAAACCTTTCACATCTGTTTCCTGTTCTTCTGTGCCAGGGTCTGTACTGTATCTCGGTGAACTGCATGGATAACGCTGAGGCTCAGTTCACCGCTGCCCTACAGGTGAGTTTTGCCTATTTCCTGTTCCCTCTGTAGATCACCTTAACCTCTTGACTCTATCCAGATATTTGAAATTCAGTATGTTGTCATTAATTTGTTCACAGGTCTTATGTTTTTGGCTCCTGGAAAACGTGTGCCAGCAATTAATGTTATATGTTTGGACATTTCACAAACGAATAGTTTGGGGTGTAACATCCTTGGATTAAATGTGTGAGGAACAGATGACTCAGTGCTGTCAGCGACTTCGTTTTATCTTTCTGTTAGATGACAACACACCAGGAGCTGTGGACGTTCATTGTAACTAACCTGGCCAGCGTTTACATCCGAGAAGGCAACAGGCATCAAGAGGTAAAAAGCCATTACCTTCCCTCAGGAATTAAACATTTACAAACATACATATTTTTTTCTTTATTTTGTTGCTGACCTCATTTTTGGATCAACAGCTGTACAGCCTTTTAGAGAGGATTAACCCTGATCACAACTTTCCTGTCAGGTAACTGCTAAAACAGTATCACATCATGAACGTTTGTTTCATGTTTTCTGCAGAATTTTGAAATAATGTAACTGTGACTTCTTCAGCTCTCATTGTCTACGAGCTGCAGCGTTTTACATCAGAGGGCTCCTGTCTTTCTTTCAAGGACGTTACAACGAGGCCAAGTAAGAACAGCTACTGTTTTACTAAGAGCAGTGTAAAGTTTATATTCCGTTTTGATGTTTAGAATAACAAAACCTAACCTGTGAACTTGCCTCAACAGAAGATTTCTAAGGGAGACCCTGAAGATGTCTAATGCTGAGGATCTAAACAGGCTGACCGCTTGCTCGCTAGTCCTACTGGGCCACATCTTTTTTGTCCTGGGCAACCACAGGGTGAGTGGCGCACACACAGTAGTACTGGTGTCAGCACTGCAGATGTAGTCTTAACTACATGTCTGGTCCCTTGTTCCAGGAAAGTAACAATATGGTGGTTCCTGCCATGCAGCTGGCCAGCAAGATCCCAGACATGTCTGTGCAGCTCTGGTCCTCTGCACTTCTCAAAGGTAAAGCTGTCACTCAGCCTTATCTGACATGAGAGCAGTGCTATGTTTAACATTAATAATATGTATGTTAAAATAATGAAGTCCAAAGCCTTAGGGTGAGCCATTGCAAGCTGAAATAGTAATTACATCCCATGATTTGAAATTTTCATTGCGTAGAAGGTAAGATTATAATTTGGCCTGATGGGGGTGCAAGAGGGAAACTCATGGAGTGTCTTCAAGTTATAATACATTTATGTGCATTGTGGTAGAGCATAGATTGGGCCTCGTGCCTGAGAGTGAGGCGTCCGAACCTGACTGTGACTCGACAAGCTTATTTTACATAATGTCTGAACCCAAGAAAAATGAAGTTGAGTTTTTATGGTGTTTTTCCCTTATAATTAAACGAATCAGACATTTGAGTGCTCCCGTTGTCTAGCCTAAAGTTCGGCCTACGTGTTTGAACCCTTCCTGGACCTGAACCTAATTTCTAAATATCTGACCAAACCCAGGACAAACCCTCAGGTACCAACAGGTCCTGTCAAGCTTGGTTTGAGCATCCACACTTTACTGTGTAGTAAATCTAAATGCAATCTGCCTGTTCAATTTAGATTTTTTTTTTTCTTGTGAACCAGTGGACTTTTTAGTCTGATGATAGCACTAGGTGAAATGTGAGACAGACCGTCACAAAGGATACATCATCTGTTTATGATCAGTATCCACCACAGCTGTCATAGGAACCCTGTGGACATGGACCGCATTATTTGATAGTAGCATATTTTGACAGTGGAGTTAGATTGAAGGTCAGAGTCATCCAATTCCTCAGGAATCATCATATGGAGACTATGAATATCGATGCCCATTTCATGGCTCTCTGATCAGAAGGAAGTATCTGTGTGTGGATCAAAAACTTACACAGACTGACCAAAAAAACAAACAAAAAAACAATGTACACAGCTTCTAGCAGGGTGAATTACATCACCGCTGGTGTTGTAATGTGGTTTTGTTGGCCGCTATGGTTATTTTGACCATACAAACAATTTATATGTTTTGTCCAGTTCAAAAGAAGCAGTTTCTTTTCCAACTAACCACCGTGGGCCGCTGTATTCAGCTGTAGTGCAGGGAGGCATCCTCTGCAGAGGAAGCACAGATATCGTCCAGTTATCTCATCAGTACACTACGGAGTAATGAAACCACAACTGAGTTAGAAGAGGGAAGTGGGAGCTCTTACTCACGCAGCAAGAACTTGATACATCTAAGCATATTCATGGGTGGACCTGACATCAGGAACAAAACTAAATTTCACATTCACAAGTTACAATTCAATATCAGTAATGATCTTTTCCCCCAGCAGATCTGAACAAAGCTTGTGGAAACACCATGGATGCCCACGAGGCAGCTCAGATGCACCAGAACTTTTCCCAACAGCTCCTGCAGGACCACATCGCAGCCTGCAGCCTCCCTGAACACAACCTCATCAGCGTAAGTGCATCATCAGTCAGTCCATCTATAAATAGTGCATCAATCCATCTTGCTTGGATTCTTAAAGAAAGAAATGTACTGTGTTGCAGTGGACAGACGGCCTCCCCCCTGTGCAGTTTCAGCCTCAGAATGGACCCACAACCAGCCTGGCCAGCCTGCTCTAAGGGAAGAACCCTGATCCTGACAGGGACAAGGTGACAGAGGAGCAACTGCAGGAAAAAATGACATAAAGAGACAGAGAACAAGGAAAAAACATCTGATAAAAGAATAAGAGGAAAGTGAGGCAGGATAATGAAATCAGAAGCTGAAGAATACTGCACTGTGCTGTTTGACAGGTAAATATAAACGGATGACAAATTAAGGGAAAAACCTGAATAAATGAGTGGTTATAGAAACAGCGCCAAAGTGCACTGAAGCTGTTCTGGCAACGTGGTAGCCCAACATCTTACTAAGGCCACATTCACTCACCAGAGGAACTTTCCCCTGTGAGCAGGAACCTTTGGTGGAACATAGTTCCTCTACCTGCATTTCAACCGGAGGATCCAGGGTCTACATGTAGTCCTGTGGCGTAGTACTCACACTGAAAAAAATGTGCTTAGTCAGGGGTAGTACTTTCTGAAGGTCCCAGAACTGTCAGGAGGGGGGCTGCATTGCAGAACGTCACTGATTGGTCAAATACAGGATTCTACAGTGCAAACATTTCACTCACGTATACAAGTAATAATCAATGTGCAAATATGAAAAATTATTTGGGCTCACTGATGCAACTGACTCCCAGTTCCTTGGGTTTTCAGTCTGTAAGGAGCATTTTATCAGTAGGCCTACATGAAGAGACCAGTGAGTGAGATTAGTGGATTGAAAAATATGGTTTTGGTGTTTGTCGAATGGCTTTTCCTGGTGTTTGACCTTAGGGCGGAGCTCAGCACCTCCACACACCAAGTACAGCGGGCAGAGGAGAGCATGACATCAGCTGAAGTGAAACATTACTCAGAGTTAAAAATCCTTTTGCTCGTTGCTGTGCATGCAATAAAACTTCGGTGAGTAAAAAAAAAAAAATGCACCTGATAAATGAGTATAAACTTGCGGAAGATCAATCATTTCAGCTCTGCCTGCAGAAATGTGGCTTTAGACACATTATGTTGGTTTTTCCTTTAATTTGTCAGCTCTCTGTATAAAGCTACTGCCAGCAGATGGCTAAAAGCTATGGATCAATGGCCACCTTCACATCCAACTCTCAGCGAGAAAGGAAATGTCAGACTTTGCCTCTAAATTCAACAGATTTGCCCCTCATTTAGAATATCTCTTTACCCCTTCTTGCAAGGTCATCATGAAGGTATTTTTACTTTGGTTATGAAAAACAGAAATTCTGACAGAACACAAAGATTTTAAGATTAAATTACTGTCAAATTTAAACCATCTACTGGCCAAACAGACTCAAATAGGACTCTTGTTGTGCATGAAGGTAAGGTTTTGTCTTGTCCGAGCACTGTTCTGCTAGTTCTGATACACAGTGTGATGATCTTAATGTTGTGTAGTGGTATGTTTGATGTATTAGGTGGTTGAGTGGACAGACTGTGATGACCACTACCTTGCTGCCTGACTGTACTTCCCTTTAGATTTTCACTGTTTCACTCTCACTGTGGTGTGTTTTCATATGCTGTGCACATGTTGCCTGGAGTCAAGAAACTAGTAATAATAGTAATAATTTTACTAAATAAGTATGACTGTTACGGGTTTGCACTTACTGTATGTCGTTTCATCACAACATTTTTATCTATTCCATGGAAGCATTTTGGAGTAAGTGTTTTTTTTACCTCACTTGTTTTTCTCTTCTTGCTTAACTCATTTTTAAACTCTGTATTTAAATAACTCATTTAATGTTGCTTTTATTATACCAGATGCATTTTTTCTTTGCTGTTATTGTTAACAACCTGAAGGACATCCCATGTAGGAAAGGTATACAGGTTTCTGTACTCATAGTTTTTATTATTACACAGTAAAGTACATAGTTTGGTCATTTGCAGGGTATTTACTGCAATAAAAACTACAGCATGGATGCCATAATTTTTTGGCTTTTTATATAGTGTTACATCACATTTAAACCTCAATATCTGACACAGAAAACCAAATGTCTGATGTTTGAACAGAAAAATCCATCAGACCAAATAATACAATGTCACTCTTTATTCAGGATGATATATTTGTCTGGGACACCATATTTAACAGCTTGTACTTTGAAAATCTGCTATTTGCCTGCTTCCATGAGGTGGATATCCACGTAAAAGCATGTAACTGCATCAATGTAATCTCATTCTGAATGGAAGCTGTAATCCACTACACTTGTAAAAACACACTTTCATTTCAGTTAATTTTAAATGTAAAACTCTGAAGATGTTCTTAGCACTGTTAAAATAGTCCACATATAGCCTATTATCTGGACTTTGTGAGGCTGATTTGGTTTAATCCTTATCGTAGTTACAATTACCTGCTGAATCTGAGTAATAAGCTATGGGCTATTAGTAGTACAGGGTAATAATTTATTTACCCTGTTGGTCTTTGGTTCTTCTTACCATTGCTAACTCTGAGAGACGAGACAGTCCAAGTAACTTCAAAACAGTGCTGATTTATTCAAAGGATCACAGGTAAAATTAACATTACACGCTCAGGTATCTTGCACCTCCAAACTGCTCGCAGGCAGATGTAAGATGAAAGACCCTGAACCCACCAGGCCTATACATTATATCACCTCGGTTGGGCTAGCCCCATACTACACAGAAACGTCAACCGAGACGTCTCTGTTACCAGCTTTGCAGCTGGTCATAGCAGTAGTCAAAACATGAAGCAAATCAATGTGTGTGTGTCTGTTGATTAAGTGGTGTGTAGCTAAAAACATTCTCACA